TATATAAAATGGCCCAATGCCCAGTGCCTGCAGAATAATGCTCAGGAACACTTCACCGACTCAGGAACTAAATCCATTTGAACTCCTGGTCTGCTGTCGAGGGCCCTGAGCCTTCCTTCCTCAGCTGGGCAGAGCAGCCAGGACTGCAGCTCATGTACCTGAGTTGTGTCCCTCGCACAGCAGCTGCAGGAATCTGAAGAGGTCGCAGGTGAATTCATCATCCTGAAGCACCTTCTCTCCTGTGGGAAGGGCAGAAGGCTGAATGCAACCACTCTGGATGCTATCCCTCTCACCCTCACTGCCAGCACTTGTCAGGCCAGCAGCCTTCTACACCCAGGACAGTCCCCAATTCCAGCCACACTTCTATCTGAAGCTCCTAGGATCATGCACTTAGCAGATAGATGTACATTTTCTCTATCAAAAAAGAATGTGTGAATCTTAAAACTCACATTTCTCTCAGTTAGGAGCAGCAGCATGGGTCTGGCAACATTTTACAAATAACCTGAAGGCTAAAACTTTGTCCCCTCTGTTTTGTGAACAGCGATGATCTCTGCATCTTTTATAAATGTTAGACTTGCGATGTTCCCAGAGCATGACCACATGGCTCACTTTGAAGCTGCTAAGTATCCATAAAACAGCACCAAGGGCCTCTTTCATTAAATAATAAGTAAAGGAGTTTCATGAAGAGTATCAACTGCTGGAAATGTGTGTTAATGTGCTCTAATTTTTGATCAGCTTGTCACCTAAAAAAACCAGTTACTACCTCACGTGTCTCAACAGAGGTGTGTCTATTGGAGAGGTATTTTCAGAGGATGGGGAGCCAGTAGACAGACTTCATTCAAAGTATCAAACCCTGAGGAAGACATGGGCGGCTTGGCTTTGAGAGCTGAGAGCTAACAGAAAACCAGTCAGATGGACAGGCCTTGGTCCAACGCCATCTTGAATTGTGAGAAACTGCAAATACTTAAGAGTAAGGACAAAGGCTAAGGGTCCTTTACATTATTTTAATTTAATCCTATCGCGATCACAATTACCTTTGACATACAAAAACTTGTACAAGGAAAGAAACAAACATGAAACAACACTACACAAATGGAAGCTGATAGTTTAAAATAATAAAATGTCAGTGGGAAAAGTTTCAAAGTTATGAATGTCTGTTTAGGAATTGGTATTTGTTTAGAAAGCAAAATGACTAAAAAAATGTTGCTTTGCCAGTGAATGAATGTGCTTATGTATTTTTTTAAGAAATAACTTTTCACAGGTTGGAAATACTTTGGGTTAGAAAGGACACCATGTGATGGACACGTGTTTAACTAGAAAGAAGCATGATCATTCATGGAGACAAGAGAGCCGATGGACTTACCAGTCCGTAGTCTGTGACTTTCAAAGTGAGTGGCTTCATATAATGGTAGGGGTAAGAAGCAAAACCATTTTGAAAACTAATGTAAACATTTAAAAAAGTACATAAAATCACTGCACCCATTTCCCTGTTTGCCCAAAGATAAGTTTGGTGAGTGAGCTGAAATCATCAAGTGTACAAATCTGATGTAGCAAGTTCAAGGATTACAGAGAACCTCCACTCCCCACATGGCTGATAAGTCCATTCCTCCGCACCTAAATTAGTGACAGGGAGAGCAGTTTAGGCTGATAAACAAGCTAAACTCTTCAATGATGACTCCGGCTATCATTTTCGTGAGCCATATAAATCAGAAGACTCTTCAAAATGACATTGAAATTTAAACATCATGAGCTTATTCACAGACATATTGATTCTTTCCCTGTGAGTCCATTGACAAGTTTTCTGTTTCAGAAAATCAAATACATCATATGTATATATCCATGGATTTTCAATATTCAAAGCATCCATGTGAAATATTTAAGCCTTGTGGAAAGCATTCAGAAAAATTACTACTGAAATGAGTCTACTGAAATAGTCTACCTGTGTGCCTGAAATTTCTGTGCAAATTGTATAATAAATTACAACCAGACCCTCCTTGATGTCGGCACAGACTGTGTTTTCTTGACTATAAGCCGAAACACATACAAGAAATTTCACTTCATTAAGGAAATGACACATAGAGCAGAAAAGTGGAGAGAGAAGGGAGAAGGGAGGCGAGGGGATCGGCCGAGCCTTTGTTCGCTCTCAGTGACCCCTGGTTGACCCAGGATGCTCCTGCTTCGTGAGCACACTGCTATGGCGTTAAAATGCTGCCATTGCCCATGCTGCCAGCACGTGGTCCGGTAACAGAGATGGGGATGGCTTTATGTCTGCAGATGGTGCACGATCAGCAAGTCTGTTTTGCAATGTATGAGAAAGAAATCCCACTGCCAGATGGAAACTAAGATTAATAACAAATAACAAAATGGTGTTACTTGAGGTTGAAAGTACTCCTACCATCTTATCAGGCTTGAACAGTCTTGTGTGGGCCATCGTAAACATCATGGATCGTATTCCTTGGGTGTCATTTTATAAGGGGCTTTAGATGTCAATTACTTTCATAAAGGGAGAACTACTTCAATGCTGCTGCCTGTGAGGCGTTTGCTCTTTGTACCTTAGCTTCTGTATTTATAAAATGAGGTTACCATGTAACCTGGCAGTGGCTCTTCATCACCAGTGAAGTTTATAAACTGTGAAAAAGTTAAAATGGCAGCAATGTGTGTGGCTCATAAATAGAATTATGTATATATGTAATTGTATTTATAACTTATGAAAGCCATCTTCATGTTAGGGACCAAACTATTCAAAATATTTTAAATTTCACTTGGGAATAAAACTAGATAGAGCTTTTATACTTAAACTAAGAGTGAAACAGTGATTGCTTTCTTATGTGACCAATAAAGTTAGCACACTGTTTTCCTTACAATTGGTTTACTGAGGTAAAAGGGAAGGAGATGAATGGCTAGGTTCATTAAAACTAGGGGCATAAATTTGTGTGTGTGTGTGTGTGTGTGTGTGTCTAGACACGTGCATGCCATAGTATGCACATGTATCCCACCCCGTGAGTCATGGGAATTGAACTCAGGTCATCAGGTCTGGTGACAAGCACCTTAACCCATTGAGCCATCCCACTGGCCCAGCGGGAATTCTACAGCAGCGTTGGAGGAGTTTAATATTATCAGAGAAGATGAAGTACGGTGTGTTCTCCCAAGTGATCTCGTAAAAAGTACTCTTTAATCCAAAAGCCTTGTTGATTAGGTTCTGGTCAAAAACTTTCATCCCCATCTTTACTGCCATTTATCTGCACTGTCCCTCAGAAGATACTTTCTGAGATATTAACACCATCTCTGTTATTATATTAGTTTGAGGAGTAAAGAATTGATTTGTTTTAAGTTGCTTTTAAAATTTATTCTCAAAGATGAAAATTGGCTTTTATAATAAAAGACTCTTAAATCCATGATATTTCTTTTTTTTAAAAAAAAAAAAGAATTATTTACTTTTATTTCAGGTGTATGAGTGTTTTGCCTTCATGTATTATGTATATGTACTGTGTGTGTAGTGCCCATGGAAGCCAGAAGACGGTGTCTGATATCTTGGAGCTGGAGTTACAGACAGTCATGAGCTGCCATATGGATGTTGGGAACTGAACCCAGGTCCTTTGCAAGGGCAGCCAGTGCCATCTCTAGCCCCCATCTGCAATGCTTTCAAAGGAAAAGAAAAAGACCCTGCAGATCTCTCACCACTTGGAAGGCGAGTGGCAGACATACTCAGCCGGTCACAGCTCAATACTCTCAATGTGTCATAAATTTCCATGCACTATTGGTGCAGTCATAAAGCCACAGTATGTTCATGATGGACACACTACGGGGGACGAGAGCACACATTTTTGGATGCCTTCATTCACACAACAGTTGCAAACAATGAGCCCTTGAGGATCATTTTTTAAATGAGTAAAACACAACAAAACAAATGAAAGCAATGTGATCTAAACCCTGTGGTGCCTTCATATCTCGTACATGAATCAGCTCAACTTCATAGAAAGAGGGAAAAAGCAAAATGAGGGAAGCTAGGTATGTGCATGTTTAAACAAAAAAAACAGGATGCATGGTGACAGACATTGAAAATATCTACTGTGGAAGCAGACTGTAAAAGGAAAAAAAAAAGCACAAAGACAATCAACTAAGTACACACGGGTAACCACAGACAAAAGAGCAAATCAAACAAGGCAGTCAGCTTAATAATTACCACGCTCGTGAGTGATGACTGAGGGAAGGAAGAGGGGACATTACAGTAGTTAAAAGAAAAGGAGATGGAGAGAAAGCGTTGAGACACTGGCTTTCGTCTGCTACGTGGAAGAACTAAAATGTAAAATGTATTCATTAATTTGGGAAATTTGAGGTGTGTGTGCAGTGAAAACGAATGTGGATTAAAGCAACCTCACAGGGAGAGATGCAGAAGTCCACTGTAAAGGGCATCTGTGGTCTGGAACGGAAACATTGTGGCTGTAGTCCGCACCTGACTGACACTTCGAGTGCTACCCTTCTTTCAAATGACTTATTTCGTTTCCTATTTTCTATGTGTATGTGCTGTGCATGTGTATGTGTATGGGTATGCATATCTGAGCAACTGTATGGGCACACACGTGCATGGTTATGAGTACCTATGGGTGTGCATGTATGTGGAGGTCAAGAAGTAGGGAGTCATCTTCAATCCCTCTTCCATCTTACTCACTGAGACAGGGTCTCTCAGAGCTCAGTCAAACTCAGAGCTCACTGATCTGGCTAGTCTTGCTACGCAGCTTGCTCTGGGATCCCCTGAGCCTGCCTTGCCTTCTGAGGCTGGGACTACACGCAGGCCATCACGCCCACCCAGCATTTCTGTGCTTTCTGGGGATCCCAACACCAGGCATCACTCTTGCATGGCAAGTGCTTTAACCACTAAGCCATCTCCCCAGCCTCTGAAACTGTATGAACAGAACTGTATGATTGAGGGGCTGGGTTCTCCTCAGAGGCTAGAACGTTATATAACAACCACGGAAAAAAATGAAGTTGACTTCCAATTCTAAGCTAGGAAATAAGACTTTGGATAATAAATTTACTTTTAGTATTTTCCTGATGAAAAATACCCAGGACTCTGAAATGCTAGAGGTAGGCCAGGCATGTGTCCTGAGGTCACGCATGTCAGAATTCTCCACATGGGGCCGAGACAAGAAAATTTAAGTCGGCTTAGAAGACTACTGAAGATCCTTCTGGAAGGGAGCACAAAGGGTTAAGTGACCACACGGTTTGAATTTGATGACTGAACCTACGTATTCAAACGTCAGAAATAAAATAATACAGAAGCCACATAGGCCCAGCGGGGTTCGAATGTGTGGGGGCGACAAACCCCAGGACACAGCAAGAGAGAAGCAATTCTTTTTCCTACTGGAACAAAAGTGAAACAAAAACAGAAACAGATGAGTTCATTAAAAGTTTTTCAGAAAGGCCAGAAAAAGCTACACATGACAAAGGGCACAAAATTATTTTATTATTATTACTTTTTAAAAATGCGTATGTGTATATTGCGCCTGCATGTAGGTAAGGGCACCTGTGTCGTGCAATGCCTGCTGAAGACAGAAGAGACAGTTGGATCCCCTGGAACTGGAGTTATGGACAGTTGTTAGCTGCCATGTGGGTGCCACCTGGATTCGAACCCAGGTCTTCTGCAAGAACAGCCAGTGTTCTTAACTGCTGAGCCATCTCTCCAGCACCTCAAAATTAATTTCTTTAAAAAAATCAATCCAATAAAGGATGCAATATTCCAAAACTAATACACTGACAACACACCAAGTCTAAATCAGACCAAGTGAACAAAAACATAAACACACAGGGCCCCACTAATGCTAAAACAGTTTAAAATCATACATAAAAGAATAAAACACAACCAAAACAAAAATATTGGAGATAATTTTTCTTAATAAATCTTCCTAAAATGAATAGGGCAGTGTGATGACTCCTGCTTTTAAATGCACTGCAGGCTAAACTTTCTATTTAGAGAGAGAAGCATTCTAAGAGGGTCCAAATCATTATTCTTGTGTGTGTATAAATTGAGTGTTCACAAACATTTAATTACAAAACTACTCCGAGTTGTTCATCAAACAAGATCTGGACTGGAAAATGCCAGCTACTCTTTAGTAGGTGTGTAAGGGAGAAAGGGATGAAGGGGACAGTGCGATTGGTGTCCTAAGAGGGAAGAAGGAACCTGCACTCTGCTAAAATGGTCAAAGAAAGTCAAACATTCTTATCTATCTTCATTCAGTTTATAGCTTCTCTGATGATTCTCTAACAAGGGGGCTTCCTCTTGCCTTAGATTAGACTTTTATCCCTTGATGACTAGGGCAAAGGGCATGGACAGAGGAAATGAAACAAGTCTGGACTGATGGGAAATGTCTGTGTGGGGAGTGTGGCCTGTGTGAACTCTGAGTCACTAAAGCCTGCTGTCAGTTTTAAAACTTCCCTGGCTCTCTCCCTGCTCAGAGATGTCAGTGATAATGAACATGTTTCAGGGAACATGGGGGACAGATGGGCCGTCCCACATAACCAGTACCTGATCCTTCCTCTGTCACCATCCCAAGCCCTTCAGCTTTGTTCTGCCGCTCGAAGGCATTCAGGTCAAGAACGCTGCAATAAAAAGGAGGGAAATGTTTATAGGACAAATGAGACATTTTCTTTGCTCAGGAAAGCAAGCATTTAAATACCAAATGCCTTCAAACATGAACCTCACGCTAACTGAAATGGTGTCTGGAGCCACTACAAACCAACCTCTCCCAAGGGCCCACACTGAAAGTCAAGTTCAAGGCTCCTCACTTCCAGCTCAGGGAGAATGTTACTAAGTTAGCAAATGTGCAGAGATATAAGGGTCACGATTCTGAAACTGGAGCTGCTTTCTACATTAAGCTTGTATCAGGCTCATCAGTCAAATACTCTCTGAATGATTTTAAACACTGTAAAAAAATAAGCAAATGATGATTGCAATCAGATGATTAAAGATCACTATGAAAAAATGAGGACTGTTCCCCAAAGCTCCACCCCCCAAATTGCCTTAAAAACTCCCAAATAACACTCAATATAATTTCCTTTTTCTTCTCTCTTTAAAAAAATAAAATAAAACATATGGGGCTGGAGAGATGGCTCAGTGGTTAAGAGCACTGGCTGATCTTGCAGAGGACACAGGTTCAGTTCCCAGCACCCACATGGCGGCTATGAACCGTCCAGGGGATTTGATGTCCTCTTCTGACCTCCATCTTAATGGCACAACACACGACACAGATACACCTACATGCATGCAGGCAATACATTCATACACATGAAATAGAAATAATATAATTTTAAAAATAATCAAATAAGGCTAATTGTCATGTATGGAGAATCCTCCTTAATTCTCAAAGGTCTGTTTAAAGCCTATGAATTTTGACAATACTACTAAAGTGGTACTAAGACAATAACTTAAGACCTCACTAATACCCTAGGAACCAGAGAGGACACAGGACCCCCTCTCTTCAAAAGAGTCTTTGTTCACCAACAACTCCTGTTTGTCTAATTACTGTCATCAGTGCCAAGCAAATGCTTTGAACTGTGGCCAAGGGGTAGAAGCAGCCTCAGGCAAACACTTTAAACTGTAGGGGAGGGGCTTGTGAGGCCCCACCCTTTTCAGAAGCTCTACTGGCAGTGGATAGAAGCAGCCATCAGACAGCACACCCTCACCTGCAGGACTGCATGAGACCCGCCAAGCTCTGGAAGAAACCCACGTCCTTCTTCTCCTTCAGATAGTCCAGCATCTTCTGCAGAAACAGAGAAACCACATAGCCACTGAGCACAAACCAGGTTTTGTTTTCTAAGGAAATAAACACGTTGAGACTCATAAGTGGTCTGGGTGCTGGGAATATGTGGTGTTTGATAGCAGCCCTAATTGAGACCTCTACATCACGCCCTCCATGGCTCAGGGAACATTGTGGAAGGGCGGTAAGAAGAAGGAGCTGGAGGAAACCCTGGGGGCTGTGGAATGCTGTCCTCTGCGCATGACATCGTGCTTGCCCTCTTGAACTTATAGCCATTGTGACTACTCACAGGAGACCTGTCTGAGATGGAACCCATGAACTGTCTGCCACAGAGGAGGGGAGGAGCTGATGAGGCCCTACCTTTCCCTTAAGATCTTCTGGCAGCTGAAGGAGTGACTCTTACTATATGGACATAGGCTGGACAAAGAACTTTTCCCTAACCTTGCAAATAAAACGTAAACAAACTCACTGAGCCACTGCTCCTTCATGTGACCTGGGCCTGTGGCATTAGTTCTCAAGAACCTTCCTTGCTTGCTTTGGACCCAAAATTATATATGAATATGTGTATGGCTGCTTTGCATATCAGAGTGCTGCAAACAATGTTTATCTCCTTGAAAACACTAAGAAAAGTTGTTTGTAGTTGTGTGCATGGTATTCTAAGTCTAGAGACCAAAGGGGAAATTCTTCTCTGACAAGACACTGCCTCATTGTGTGCTAGATCTACTATTTCAGTAAAGATTGTTCCAAAGCCCTCTGCTCCAGAGCACAGCTCCGAGAAAAATCTTAAATGGATGCCAAGAGTAGGGCTGTTTGCTTTATTTTTTCAATATTTTATTTATTATTTTTATTTTATGTGTATGTGTGTATTGCCCGCATGTAGGGAAGTGCACCCTTGTCATGCAATGCCCTCAGAGGCCAGAAGAGACTGTCGGATCCTCTGGGACTGGAGTTATGGACAGTTGTTAGCTGTCATGTGGATGCTGGGATTCGAACCCAGG